TTAATAAATAAAAGTAGACCATTTTGTCAATATTTGCTTTAATGTTTTGTCCCACTTGGAAAGTTTAGTAGTTTATTCAACACATTAAAATTAACTGATATAAATACAGTCAAAAGTCGTTAATTCAGACACCTATAATCCGGACCTCAAAGCTACAAACTTTCTGCGTTTATGCGTACGCGTAAGATTTTTACGGCTGAGAATGTGCATGTCTGCAGGCGCATAATACGTTTACGCATGCGCGTTTAATGTATAACGGACGGCATAAGCTAAGCTAAAATTATCTAATTCCGTTAATCTTGCAGATTGCGTTGTTTCTTAATCTTCGAATTGGATCCAGCTTATTATTTTTTGCAGACTGTTAGAGCAATTTTATAAAAGTAAGCTTGAACTTTCGATTATGTCAAATAGAATTTCCAATATATATTTAATAATATGTAAAGCAGTGCTCCGCAACCTTTTCTAACCTGCGACGCACAAAAAATCTTTCTGGAATTTCATAGCACACCAAAGAGTTCCGAGTTATCAAGGAAGTGCCGAAAAAATTCAAATGCTGACACACTTACAATCACACACACAACCACACAACAGTGAAATATATAAAAACATTTAAAATAGACATTATTAAGGAAAAAAATTGTCCTTGTGTATAAATACATGATAAAAAATTGCAAAATGTCAAATACATGTATTTGATTGTGGCACACCTATATCCTACTCATGGCACACCGGTTGTGGAGCTCTGATGTACGGATCTACAAAGCGAAAGTATGTTTTGAAATCCAAAATCTGTTTATCAATTTCACGTTGCTCTGCGGCGGGAGGGGGGGACGCCGCGGCGCGCAGTGAATTGGAAGTTGATCTGTCAGCACTATCCTTATCTTCAGGGCAGATGTTTTTATTTTATTTGGCTTATAATTCCTTACTAAATGTAGTATTTCATCTCGATGTACTCCGTCTTTGATATGATTTAAATCAAGTTCCTTGTCATTATAATTCGCTTCCGATAATGAAGAAAGTGACACAGAGGTTATTGAAAACGAAAAAATTTCGATTGACAATTAGTCTGTATTCCACACAGCAATTATAGGACTTGAACATCGGAACTTTGTAACTAAACAAAAATTATCCTGTTTAATAGAATTAAAGAGAAAGTATTATCACATGAAACAAAACAACTTACATGAAAGAAATGTTTAATAAAGTAAACAAATAAATATTAAGCTTTTTCTTTTTGTAAATTTTGATTTTAGACCATAATTGTTCTTTATTTCATAAATTACGGTTTCATATTTTTAATTTTGTAATTTCTGCATGCCATCTTACCAGATTTAAACTGATGATCTATAATCCGGAAAAATCGATAATCTGGAATCGCCGAAGTCCCGGCGTGTCCGGATTAACGACTTATGACTGTACTTATCTGAAAATTTAATATTCACTTGTAATTAAAATTATAAATTGTAACCATAAAAAAATTCCTTGCTAGTACCAATCTTTAGATGTCAGACAAAAAATAACTATTAATCAGAATTTTTTCCTTTGCATCATTATAATTACTGTTTATGTATGATCTTATAAATATTTAGTAAATGAAACTTAAAATTAAATTTTCTTTAAAAATTGTTTTGTTATTTTTTCTCACTCTTGGAGGGGAATAGCCTGTTAGTTGGTTTGGTAAAAACATTTATGTTGAGATTTTGTACAATAGAGCTTTACACCAATAAACAATTAATTGTCAATTTTATTAATTTTTTTCATAACCAATGGGATCTTGATCATGCTAAATAGTTGTCAGTGTTATTTGGCTATTGATTCTCAATCAACCTTCTGATCATCAACTGACGGCTTTAAAAATTTTATTGACTCCCTGGTAGTCGAAACCAACTCTGCTGGCAACCTCTACTCTAAATGGTTGCTTGATGTCCTTTGCAAAACTCAGAACAAGTTTCACATTTCACATATTTGTTGTTGGTCTCTCCCTTCGTCAGTCTGGATCCCTATGCATGCTTAAATATTTTTCACAATATTTTCTATGCATGCTTAAATATATTCACAATATTTTCAAAATATTTCTAAATGCTTAAATATTTTCTTAGTTAACTGTTGGGATTGATCCTTATCTAAGCCAAACCAGTAGTCAAGCGGTTAAGACTTAAACGCTCAAAGTTAGATCCCAGGTGAATGGGCTAGCTTCATATTTGATTTTCATGGTTTTTCTCAATAAGCAACATGAATGTAAGCCAGTCTCCCTAAGAGAGTCCTTCCTCCTTGAAGACATCCTTCTCATTATGCAGATAATCCATGCACTTTGCCATATTCATATAACCTAGGCCAGGATCCAGATCACATTTCTATAGACCACGATTTCTCAACCAGGAGGAAATTTCATAGTTTTGGGGGATGGAGAAATGCAGTAAGCCTTATACATATCTGTTAAGGATTTAGTTTTAATTTATGAATATGAAAAACTTTTATTTAAATTTTGAGATTTATCAACATTTTCTATAATATTTTTCTTTGTTTTACAAAATACTTTAAATACTTTAAAAATAACCTGTGATCAAGCTACAGTTAAAGGGGTAAATGGGGCAAAAAAAGGTGGATATTTGCATAAATTTCGCTAGTATCGGAGCTATCCAAACTAGGTGTATATTACCGATCCTTGATTCAATTAAGTAAAATAAATCTTCCCTACTGAATGAAATAATTGTTTAAAAGATAGGTAATAAACACAAATTGAAATAGCAGCAACATTTCCAGGGTACTTGCATAGCATCGACAACAGCATGACTGATACTGATCTAGAACAGAGAGCAATTTAGAATCCAAACTGGCTTGCATAAGATTTAAACTCAGCTGGTGTTGAAAGAACCTAGTTTCTTAGTCTGAGTAAAATCGAAATTCCACCCAAGGACACAAGTAAGATAAGTTTCATACATTAAGTTATCATTTAACTATTTGTTAACTTTATCTTTCATTAAATCATATTTGCTTCTTTATATTTAATTTTATTATTTATTAGCTAATGCAAACTGCTAGAATGCAAAATAATAATTGATTGTGAACTTATATGCATTGCCTAGTTAAAAAAATGTGCTAAAATAATCTAGATGACAGCTGAAACAAGAATATGCCAGAAATTTTAGTGAACAAGTATTTTTTTTTTTTTTCTTTCTTTTTTTTTTTTTTTTTTTTTTTTTTTTTTTTTTTTTGAACATTAAATTATGGTCATTTTTAACACATGTAATGTAAGTACCAAAGAGGACATTTATTTCGTTTCTTAATTAAAGTTTCACACTAAAATTGTCATAGAAATGTAGTAATATGCTTTTAAAAAGGGGAAATCTTAAATAAAAATAATTATAAAGAATTATTACATTCCTAAAAGTATGCTCTTATGGAGTAAGGTGTTATGGACATTAACTTAAATACAAAGGATAATAACCTGCAACCACGAGTGAATAGGTACCATGCCTCTCTCCAACCAAACTTTAAATGGAGTACAATATATAGACTTTTTGCATTTCCCGATGTGTTCACATGTGATGTGAGTGGTTATGATGTTTAGTTAGAAACTGGAAGAGCCATAATTCAAATCTAGGTGAGAGCAGTTTACCATTTTTATATTTTAAGCTTTGGAAATCTTTATAGTCTTCACAGAGGTGATATAACTCACCTTTTTGAAGTACTAATCCATTATAATCGCTCTATTGTATAAACAAGCATTAGAGAAATACAAATGTTTTTACAGTTCTTTGGAAAGTTATGGTGAATATGAAGTAGAAAAGTAAAATGAATGCCTTTTCAGTGTTAAAGAATGGAAGGAGGGAGACTCCCAAATTTCATTAACGCAATTAATATTCAATCGTAATCATTAATTACTAATTAAATAATTAAAATTAAAAAAATAATTCATTAAAATTAAGCAAATTTGTCTCCTTACATTTTTCCCTTTTGTTCAATTTTAATCCTCATGCAGGATGTTTCTCATAAAATTTATATGGAAAGCAAAATTTAATTTTAGCACATTACTGTTTTCAAAACATAACTTACAAAAAATAAAATATATGAAATGAATAACTGCAGTAAAAAGTCTGAAATCCATAATAGTTGAAACTTAGGTGACTTTGGAAATTTCCAGATTTTATATCATAAGTTTACATCTAGTTAAGATGACATGTAGACATGGTAACATTAAGGCTTCACTTATTGTTTATGTCAGATAGAAAATGCTAACAAGCACTCAAGAATGCGATCAGAGCAATACGACAGCCAATGTATTTTCATTTAAGCAACAAATGTTTGAAAGTGACATGCAGGAATCTTAGTTGGGGAAAAAAAATCACATTTATGGCACACATCCTTCCTTTTGTTGAGTATTATATTTTCTATTCCTAGACTTTGTAAGGGGGTATTGATACTGGATGTTCGGATTTTAGACTTTGTACAGCATTACCAAATACACATACAAGTAGCAAGGCTGCAAATACTGAATGATCCACATAAACTGCACAGCATACTCTTTGCACAGCAGTATTCATCATTCTGACTGGACAAGAAATGGCCAAATTATACCTCTGCCACACAAATTTTCAGAAAAATACAAGAATAAGAAATTATGTCACATCCTGTACAAGGAAAATAAACATTTTACATTTTATGAATATTAAAGCTAAATTTCTGGCATATTCTTGTTCTTCAAAGATAAATAAATAATTTACCAATAATAGTAAATTTGCTTCACTGGTGTTGGGTATGATGTGCACAAGCTACAATGAGTACTTTTATTGTATGCAAATTACCAGTATTTATTTGGCTGTTATAAAAAAGATATCAAACCTACATGTGACATCATCATTTTCATTTCAATTTTCTCAAAACCTACGAGTCTTACAGATAATCTTTTTGGCCACTTTTTATCCTTTCAAAATGATATGGTTGTATAAAGTTTATATGGTACTTATGGTACACCTAATAAATAAAAACTATTACATTACCTGATCTTTGTAATTCAAAGAGGCACCAAAATTTATAAGTTCCCTAACAATAGCCGCATGACCAGAAGCACTAGCTAAAATAAGAGCATTTTCTCCTGATGAACCAACTACAGAAACTAATGCTCCACGTAATATTAATTTTCGTACCGTTTCTAACTGTCCATAAGAAGAAGCCCACATTAAAGGTGTGAATCCATTTTCGTCTTGCAGATTGACATTAAAATTATCATCTGAAATAATGAAATATTTTAAAGTGAATTAACTGCATGCAATAAAACATTATTCTCTATTATATGTATTTTAGTAAAATCAAATTTAAATAAATATGGCTACTTAGTATTTTATATTCAAGCAAATGAATTATTTTTAAGCTGTCGATTATGAAAATAAGAGTCATGTCGTAAATGGTTCCCCAAAACATCATATAGCAGACTCCTGATTTTACAAACTCATGCAATCTGCTAAAAATATTTGCATAATCAGTTTATACATGAGTTTATACATGGGAATGGCATTCTCACTTTTATCCATTACAAATTTTCCCCCCCTTACTAGTCACTAATCTTTGCTTGATAATTACATTTTAAAAGAACTCCATATGATCCTAAAATGGTGATTCCATACTTTTTGTTGACTTCAGTCTTAGTTAAGACATGAGCACCCATTTTCTCCAATTTCTTTTTCTTTTACAGAACAGCATATTCTTTGGTCTTTTATTTCGCACGATTTCGGAATCAAATTCAACAGTGAAGGGATAAACAATATATATTTTCAAAATTTTTTGCTATAAATAAAAAATGTACAAGCTTGGATTGCTTTACTGCTCAGGTGCCAGTATATTATATGCATACGGGATAATTTGTCAATGTAATGACTATACAGAAAGCATCTTGCAGAAAGAGTGGTCTTTATGTACACCACAGATACAAATATGAAGATGTTTTCACGAAAAACTTTGTAAGGAAAATTGAGCTGCAATTATGTTTCACATTGAAAAAAAACTACGCAGCAAATGCATTGCAATAGCAAGAACTTAATCCAGATCAAACAGCTTTACAGCTTTTATCTCAACCACTGGTTGGCCATTCTTCATATGTAATTTGCTTCATAATCATAGCAGCTTCAAATAACAGACAGCATTAGTAAACAGTCATTTTATTGGATCATCCAGAATGTTCAGTCATTTTTAAAATTACACTTCAATTTTTGTGTTACTGCTGATAAGGAGTTACCTTGATCGAAGTGAATGTTTAACTATAGTATTTCCTGCTCATGCTGCATAATTATGCATTGTTTTATAACTTTTGTTTCAGTGCAGTACAAAGAATGGAGAAACCCAAAGTCCACTTTCATTATATCATGCTCTTTTATATTTAAAAAAAAATATCTGATGTCAACACCCCAGTCGCATTTCATTTAAACTTATTTTCTCAAATTTCATTACAGATATATTCATCATTCAATCAATTCAGTTCTCATTTCGCGGAAAGACAAAAATACATGAAAACTCCAAACATCTTCATTAAAAATTGTAAATACAGAAAAACATAAAACACCAAATACAGTTAAATACAATTTTTACAATCAAAATTAAAGTTTCTAAGCAAAAACAAGCAATTTGGACAGTGGACAGGAAGACAGATTTTTCGGTGCACAAAACTGAGAGTTTACTTTTTGGTTCCACTTGGCAAAAAGGACACTAAAGTTGGTGCACAAACTGACTTAATTCAATAGTTTACTAAGAGTTTCAAATGCAAACAAATGGCAGCTTCGTTAGGCTTAGTAGCACTTAACTTTTAAACTGTTGATAATTCTATAACTATTGGATAGAAATTAACTAAAGACATAAAAACATAAGAACAACATCATTCATTTTTAAAGCAAAAAAATGTACAATTTGCCGACATTTAAGAATAAAGAAAACTGAGCTCACTGAGATGGGTAACAGAGTGGATATATGTACACATATATTTTAGACTTCTGGTGGAGCCGATTGCAACCAAAAAGGGAGGTGCACAATGACATGGTATAGCATATACACAGTTTCAGCATTCTGATGTTAATCATTTTTGAGTTATGCAAGATACATACATATGTAGGTACAGAGGTCATGAAAAAATCTCTTTTGAATTCATTTTATGATCCATATGTAAAAATGTCACACAAAAACATTGTTCACATGTCCATTTTTGCTGAAATATGATACACGAAATTTTACATAATTACAATACTTCTTATATTTCGTACAAGTAAAAAGAAAAATATACTAATTAGACTGCTTGTAAAATTTGTTATACAGGGTGAATCACCTAAAACTTACACCACATTTATTCATGAAACAAAAGGTGCTATTGATGTGCTGATTTCAAAGAATAGAAATACAGACAAGTGCTCATCATTTGAGATCATACATGGATTTTAATTATTAGATATAGTTTTAACAAAGTTACTTTTTTTCAAATGAACAATGCTTATTGATATCAATAAAATAAAATTAAAGGAAATTAGAATGTCGATGTTTTTTGTATAGTAAAAGTAATTTATGAGCTATCATCACATCAAAACTGTAAATACCGACAGTTGTCTCCTGCATTCAACAGCATAATTACTGGCTAGGATGTCGATACTGTGATTTTTGTGCTTGTTTCTGGTTTTGCAACAAAACACGCTACAATTTATTTTTTATGCACCATGGGATAACATTTTATGAAGAAAGAGAACATGAACAAAATTAAGAAGATTCCAAAGAAGAAAGTGAATACAGGTATTCATAGGTTGCATTCGAAATGATGACCTTCAGCTACAATACTAGCCTTCATTCTATCATGCAAAGGTTGTTGCATGCATAGTATTTCAGCCGAAATTTCAGAACAGGAAGCAGTAATACATTCTTTCATACTTTCTGGTGCAATCAGCAGGTAGACACTGCCTTTTAGGTTTCCCCACAATAAAAAAATTAATAAATTCAAAGGCGGCAAACCAGCCAACATACATGGCCTCCCTTAAAGCAGGCCAATGATTTTGAAACCATTGGTAAAGACACAACGCATGCTTCTTTGGTTGACATAGTCATTGCAAAATTTGTATAATTTGCTTCATCAATAATCAAGATGCCTGACAAATCTAGTGCATCAAATCTGAATGTCCCACGTACAAAAGTTAACACCATTTTCAAAATGTCTCCATAAGACAAAACACATGCTTCTGTGATTGACATGGTCATGATTTGTAAAATTTGCTTCATCAATAAACAACATGCATGGCAAATTTGGAGCACCAAGTCTTAATGCCACCCCCCCCATGTAGAAAAGTTCACACCATTTCCAAAAATGTCTCCATGTACCTCTTGATGGGAAAAAACATGAAACGGAACTTGTGACAGTTGAGAATAGGCACACTTTGCTGAGTGAATTCTCTCCTTCTTCCAATGTACTGGAAACTAACTCGGAGATCTACAGCAACGGCAGCTAGAATGTGGATTTCATCCTCTTTTCCAGCTGCCTGTATGTTTCTATTAAACATTCTAGGTGTTACACTTCAAGGTTTCCCATAACTGGTTAAAAAGGCTCAAAAATAATTATCATGATGGTTTAAGTCTGTTGGGATACCCTTCAGTATACACATTACAAGCAAACACATTCTTCTTACATTCCTCTTACACCATGAGTATTTCAGCTTTTTCAGCATTAATAAATATTTTCCAGTATCTCTTGTTTCTATGAATTGTCACAAAGAACTGACGATAAAGTTTCAATGCAAGCAGTGTAAAGGAAAGCAAATGTAGGCAAACATACATTACTGCCAGTAATTATGCCATTAAATGGAGCAGACAACTGTCAGTATTTACAATTTTGATATTACTAATAGCTCATAAATACTTACACTAGAATCCAGTAGTAAAGCACTACTGACATTATAATTTCCTCTGGTAGCACTTTAATGATGTCAAAAGGCATTGTTCTATTTGAAAAAAAGTAAATTTGTTAAAAATACAGAATCTAATAATTAAAATTTGTGCATTAGCTCAAATTATACCCTCATGTTTAAACCTGCATTCTGTGTAATCATCAAATCAATAATACATTTTATTTCAGAAATAATTGTGCTGGAAAATTTCAGGTGATTCATCTTACATATGGACCAAAAAAAAAAAACTGCTTATTATGACAGAGTTTAAGAGTGATTTAAGCATGAGAAATTTAAACCTTGAAGATTATGCCTGCTCTGGACAAAAATCTTCTGTACACAAGGATCTATTTTAAAAATCTATCGCCAAAAATCTCCGTTATGCAATTAAGGAGCTATCAGAGAAACTATATGCTTTAAAAAGTATAGTACATGACCATTTGAAGAAAAATGGATAAGTAAGCTACAATATATGGGTATACTACAGTCAAAAGTCGTTAATTCGGACACCCATAATCCGGACTGATCTATAATCCGGACCTCAAAGCTAAAAACTTTCTGCGCATGCGCCGCATTGGCACATGCGCACAGTCATTTTACGCGTGCGCGTAAGACTTTGACTTACTGCGCTATGGTGTGCGCAAGTGCAGAATACGTTTTTGCCTGCGCGTTTAATGTATAACGGACGGTGTAAGCTAAAATTATCTAATTATCTATTTCAGTTAATGTTGATGATTGCGTTGTTCCTTAATCTTCGAATTGGATCCCGCTTATTAATTTTTGCAGACTGTAAGGGCAATTTTATAAAAGTAAACTTGAACTTTCTATTATGTCAAATAGAATTTCCGATGCTGGAACTTCCAAAGGATCTACAAAACGAAAGTATGTTTCGATGTCCAACAAACAAAAAGTGGAATTGCTGCAAAAAATGGATAAAGACATGAAGAATGTGACAGAGAGGTTGGTGAAAACGAAAAAATTTCGATTGACAAGTTAGTCGGTATTATCGGCACAGCAATTAATGGGACTTGAACAGCGGAACTTTGTAACTGAACAAGAAATTATGTCTGTTTATAGAATTAAAGAGAAAGTATTATCACATAAAACGAAGCAACTTAAACAACTTGCATTGAAAGAAGTGTTTAATAAAGTAAACAAATAAATATTAAGCTTTTTTTTTGGTAAATTTTGATACCCTTTAGATCATAATTGTTCTTTATTTCATAAATTCCCCTTTCATATTTTTAATTTTAGAATTTCTGCATGCCATCTTACGAGATTTAAACTGATGATCTATAATCCGGAAAAATCGATAATTCGGAAT